CTCAAATTTTGCTATAGTATCATCTTACAACCATTCTTATATTGTTATATATTCAGTTTTTAGAATCAAATTTAGAGCCTTTCTTAATTAAGTTTATGCATTAGTCGAACTTTTTTACCACTGTTTATGTATTGGTTTGATTAAGCGAATGATCTTCAATAAATTCAATTAGTACTCGAGTTTAAATCACATTCCTGTAGAACTATTTTGTCTGTCTATAGATCAAAACAAGTTGGGGATTTTAAACTTATTTACTATCAATATTCTTCCCAGGTAAATGGTTTTCTATGGTATAGTATTTGTGCAAATCAGGTCTAAAGGTTTGTTGTCATTTTTCTCTTAAATCTGCACAGAGATCTCAAGTCAAGTTTACAACTTCGGATTCACTCAAACAATGCTCTTATTCAAGAAGTCCAGCTTTTGATCTCGGCTTCACATCAGCTCTGTTTCTAATGATGGCTCAGATAATCGTAAGTGTTGCAAGCGGTTGTCTCTGTTGTAGAAAAGGTCCTCCTCCTTCTAGATCTAATTGGATTATCGCCGTAATCTGCTTCGTTGTTTCCTGGTAATTCTCATCGTTCTATTCCTTTTAAAGTAAGCTTTCCTACTTACTGTAATTTTGCTTGCAACTGATGATGTTCGTGTTACTTTAGGTTCACTTTTGTAATCGCTTTCCTCGTGCTGCTAACTGGAGCTGCACTCAACGATGAACACAGCGAGCAGACAATGTATGCCGGTAACTACTTCTGCTACGTTGTGAAACCGGGGGTTTTCTCTATTGGTTCTGTGCTTTCGCTTGTTACTATTGCCCTCGGAATTGTCTACTATTTATGTTTGACTTCAAGTAAGCACAATGTTGCTGCCACCACCACGACGGCGGCGAACCAAGGAGGAATAGCAATGGGACAGCCTCAGATTCCAGAGAGAGTAGAAGATCCTGTCTTTGTTCATGAAGATACTTACATGAGAAGACAGTTCACTTAAAAAACAGACAAGGGTTGCTTGTAATACACGTTAGGTTTAGTGTAAGATTTAGGTGAAAAAGGAACAAAAGGA